TCCCTGGCCCCCGGGCTATGGTGGTGAGACTGGTGGGGCCCCCCTCTCCGGAGGGGCCATCGGGCCTATTGGAGTCAGCGGGGGGGGCTGGGTCCCTGGGAGTGCAGTAAGCGCCCCATTCCTTTGCTCCCCATCCCCAGATTCCTCCCTCTGCCTGCTCCACCACACTGCCACACATGTAGGTTTTTGGAGAGGGGGTCGTTACTGGAGGGCCCCACCTTCTGATGACGTCCGCCACCCCAATTTTATTTTGCATTCTAGACACTTCCATCTACAACATTTTCACAACACACATCTATGTAGGGCATTTTCTAGGGGTTGGGGGTCAAGGCCACCAGGGGGTGGGGTTATTTTATGGGCTTCACCACGGTCGGCTTCCTCCATCCCCTCTCGCATCTAGACATTAAGGGTTCAGGGTTGTCGAATGGGGGGGTGCGCTGGCACCACCTATCTCCGGGAGGGGGGGTGGACTGTGCCGGACACCCCCTCTTGGTACTCCCAGTTTTAATTACATCTGAGAGCAACACGCAACAACACCACATTTAAGCAGGCGCAGGGAGGATCGGGGTCTTCTCACACCCCTGTTCCCCGGCTGCCACCCGGAGTCTGGGGCCTGGAGGAAGAGTGAGCCATGTGGTCCGTGGTTTTGGCTGGGGCTGGCTGTGGGGCTGTCACTTCCGCTCTCCCCAAAGAAGGTTAGAATGAGGGGCGTGTCAAAGTAGTTTTGGGGCCTTGCTGGGGATCCTGTCTGGGGGTCGGGCGAACCTGGGGTCCCGGATCCCTGGGGCCCAGGACCTGATTCACTTCAGGGTGGCCGGCTGCCGGCGGAGCCCGCGGACTCGTCCCCGCAGCTCCCCGGGCACCGGCATGGCAGTGCCTGGGAGGTTTTCCTCGAGGCTGTCTCTCTTCCTCCCTTGGTGGGGGTCTGATTTCCAGGGCTGGCCCCTCCTTGGTGCCTTCACTCTTGGGGTCAGTAGTAAAATAATCTGCACTTATGATTAAAATATATTGGATACAGGTTTTACATATTGAATAAATGTTTTACTTTAAATGCATTTATGTTAGAAAAGTCAAGAAGAATCTTAAAGTGAAGGCCAGCATGGAGAGATAGAAAGCAGAATGTGTGTGTGTAAGCTCTAGGCTCTCTGCAGGTGCAGCTTTAAAGATAAGGCTAAGTTGGGAAAACGCAGGGAATAATTCAATTCAATTCAATTCAGTTTATTTATATAGCGCCAAATTCACAACACATGTCATCTCAAGGCACTTTACAGTTCAACCAGATCAT